TCATCATTCATGTGATGTGAGGAAAATAAATAAATAAACATGTGAAATTCTTCTGACAAAAAAACAGCAATTTTATTGAATGAAGCCACACACCGTGAATTCCATTTATACATCACTATTTCCCTCTTAAGATCCACCGACGCCATTGTATTAATGTTTACATACATTATACATATTACATAGATGCGTGGAAATTTGCATTAAGAGATAAAAAAAAATAACCTATAAGGCTATAAACGTTTTTTAACATTTGAAATCTATTCTTTATCAACAAAAACAAAAAACATTTGAAATATATATATCAACGAAATAAATGTTAATAATATCTCTTGATAGCATTTATAAATAGTACATCGCGGTATTCGGGAAACTTGGTTTCGGATAATTCTTAAATCCAAATTCGCTAAAACAGTGCTAATAAAGTAGTGATTAACTTTTAATTCTTTGTATGGTTATATAGGGTCTCTAATTTGGAAGGGATGTGAAATGTTCTATTACACTTTTTAATGTGTTTTAATCTATATATATGTGTGTATTACACTTTCTAATGGGTAATATGATATGTTTTTTCATGAAGAAATCTGAATCTGGTAGGCATAGGTTGTGCATTTAATCACGGAACTATAGAAAATGAACCGAAAGTTTCCGTATGGGATCGTATACCATGTAATATAAATTTCCTTTATACAAGACGACATTAAATTTAATTCAATGCTCCCTTCTATTTGTGTCTCTACGTACGCCGATTCATTTCGCAGGGATTAAATACTAGTGTAGTAGATATTCATTTTGCAATAGAAGAATCATAATGAATAGAGAAAACAGAAAAAGAGGACTCGAAAGTTCTAAATAGCACCGATGCAAATATATGCCACTCTAGATTATTGACCATCGACATCAAATCAGTATAACCAATGTCAAATCGAATTCTCGTCCGATAGACCAAAGTAGTATATTTCATCATCCATAAGCGATTGTAGTTATGTAAGGAAATGTTGAGACACTACCAGAGAATCATATTATTCTCTGATGTGACATACTTACAATCCAACAACATGCCGGGTAGTTCAGTGTTAGAGAGGGTCTGTAACCGATAAAAACAGAATCCAATTTTAATATACTTTGAATCAAAAGAAAAAATTACGAAACCCTAATTCAACAAATTCGAGTTGAAGAAGAAGAAAATAATTAATGGACTATGTGCATATGTACTCATTGCACATGCACATAGCTAAGCCAGTCTGACCACTTACTGTATCATACTTATGCTCAGAACCATCAATCTGGTAGCTAAGAATCATCAATTTGGTAGCTAAGAGAAATTGGTCGAGTGGAGGCAAACTCATTCTCTCTAGTTCAATAGTATCCTCTCGATCGTCTACCCTAGTATTAGCCATCCTCCATGATTGGACTTCTCGAATAGCATAGCACAAATGGAGATTCACTAACCTTATCAAATACCTTTCCATTTCGTACCTTTCATATAAACCATAGGAACCAAAGTGTTCGAGTTCTCAATTGTCATATAAACCATAGGAACTAAGGGCTGATTTGACCAAATTAATAAACTTTTGTTCTCTTTTTGTAAATATAATTAAATTTGTCGACAAAAAAATAAATATTTAAATTTCTTAATGGGACCCGCGCAGGAGCATACGGAACAGTACAGAACGGCGGAGATTAGGTTTCTTCTCCTGCGCCACAGGAAACCCAATCGACGATTGTTGGCGATGCGATCGAAAATGGCATCGCCGGAGAAAAAGACTAGCCAATTGCGCAATCGGATTCGGTCGAAACGCAATCGGAGGACGCGACGGACGTTACTACACCGTCACCGATCCATCAGATCACGATCCAGTAAAACCCAAACCCGGTACACTCCGATTCGCCGTGATTCAAGATCGTCCTCTCTGGATCGTGTTCAAACGCGACATGGTCATCACTCTGAAGCAAGAGCTAATCATGAACAGCTTCAAAACGATCGATGGTAGAGGCGTGAATGTTCATATCGCTGGTGGAGCTTGTATAACGATTCAGTACGTGACGAATATTATCATTCATGGGATTAATGTTCATGATTGTAAGCGAACTGGTAACGCTATGGTTAGGAGCTCGGAGAATCATTATGGTTGGAGAACAATGGCGGATGGAGATGGGATCTCGATTTTTGGATCTAGTCATATTTGGATTGATCATAATTCGTTATCGAATTGTGCTGATGGATTGATTGATGCGATTATGGGTTCTACTGCTATTACCATCTCCAATAACTATCTCACTCATCACAACGAGGTTCGAAATTTCTTTCTTTGATTTCTATTGATGGATTCTGGTAGAAATGATTAGTATTGATGCAGAGATTGTGAGTGGTAATGATTTAGTAGAGGATGTACTCGGTTTCGGTTCGTCAAACGAACATTGTAGTGTCTCGGGTCTTTGGCTTGATTAAGATGAAGTTTCATTAGCTTAAAACTCCACGAATGCAGAAAGTTTGTGTTATTTTTTTTTGTCATATGTTCAAAAGCTGACAAGAGATGATAATGCAGGTTATTTTGTTGGGTCATACGGATTCTTACACGAGAGATAAAATGATGCAAGTGACCATTGCATTCAACCATTTTGGGGAGGGTCTTATACAGAGAATGCCAAGGTGCTTCATCTAATTTCCTGTTTTTTTCCGGATGGTTGGTCGAATATATTGGTTTTTGTTAGAGAACCAGTTAGTGTCGGGTTTTCTACAGTTTGGAATGTTTGGTGTTATTTCAGGTGCAGGCATGGATACTTCCATGTGGTAAACAACGATTATACTCACTGGGTTATGTATGCAATCGGTGGAAGTGCTAACCCTACCATCAACAGTCAAGGAAATCGGTTCCTTGCCCCGGGAAATCGTTTTGCTAAGGAGGTATTTGATAAATCCAGTTACAGCGGTTTCTAGTTAGCTGCATCTAAGCTAACAAAACATAATGGTTGATTTGAATATATTTTCCGGCAGGTGACGAAGAGGGTAAATGCAGGGGAAGGAGAATGGAACCATTGGAACTGGAGATCCCAAGGAGACCTAATGCTCAATGGTGCCTACTTCACTTCATCTGGAGCTGGAGCTTCTGCGAGTTACGCTAGAGCCTCTAGTTTGGCTGCTAAATCATCCTCCCTTGTAGGTATGCTTACCTACAGCTCTGGTGCCCTGAAATGCAGGATCGGTATCCGTTGTTAATTATTTTTATAACGTAGAAACCGAGTCCGAACACAT